TAGGGATGGTAGGCCTGGTTGGCCCAGGCATATATTGACCCTAGATTCGAACCCGTGACCATGTGTGTGAAATAAATAGTCAACAGAGCTTTGGCAGCGAACTTACCTCAGTAATAGGCTAACACTCTGAACAGTGAGTTCGGACGGTGATGAGTTTCGACAAAAAACTTGGGGGGAAGTCCGTAGCGTTGAACTTTTACAGCCTTTTTGCAGCACTAACATCTCATGAAACTGTCAAAGCCAATATGACTGCTGTTCGGGCATATGTCATCTGAAATCGGGATAGAGAGCAGAAAAGTGCCGCACACCATCACACCATGGTTCAGAGTGGCGTTCGGAGAGCTCACCGCAGGGCGTTATATGGGCCCCGGGGCACTGAAACCCCCACCACGATCTTGATTGCCTGAATGGAAGTCGAATGCGTGAGCGTATCTCAAAAGCCAAATCAACACAGTTAAGAGGGTTAGAAATTCATTAATTGTATTGAGATGCCATTCTACTTGAAGGGATGTATGTCGAGAAAGGCGTGCCGGAAGGATTTACAGCCCTAATCACTCTGTTCCTAGTCCCACTGTCACATTGAGAATATCATGTCACGCTTTTCACCCTTCAGTCCCACTCCCTTTTCCCTTCAGCTCGCTTTCCCAACGGACCATTGAGTGGCGGCGGTTCATTTTTGAACACGATCTTACCTTTTCGGTGAGTATACAAGATATAGTTATGGCTTTGAAGGTTTTTAGCTCCTCCTCCACCTCTTCTTCCAGCTTTCAACGTTGTCGCAAGCTCTATTTGATGATGGTTATTTTTTAATTTTTAAAAGCAAAATTTCTCATTTCAGATGGTCACTGTGACTCGGATTCTGGTATCTTTGCTATCCCTTCTATCGGGTTGCCTTACATTTGACATGCCAAACCTCCGCATGCTCCAAGGCAAAGAGAGGTCGGTAATATGCCTTCAACACTCTGGACAACATGGATGCTCACGATTTCTCAGGAAAGCAGATAGTTTCAGTTTCAGAGAAATATTAGGCCGTACGCTGCTCACGTTCCAGCGTCCACGCCTTGATCTCATCTACAGGTTAGTTACCCATACCGAGAGTCTTGGAGCTGAACTGAAGTTCGTTATTGTAGGGACTACCAGTACCCACCAGATCGCTCTGCATCTCGACCAATGGTAGTCTTTGATGGACGAGTTTACCCGTTGAGCCGCTAAAACAATTTCGCTAGGATTTTCAGCCAAAATTTAATACTTCAACAGAGGCCACTTGCTTATTTTTCGTTGTTTCAGCTGCAATAAAGATTACCATGATCCTTTCATGGCTTACAGCAGAGATTTGCGATGAACTCATCAAGTAGAAAGGCTATCAACACAATACCATCACAGCAGTAGGATTATTTCGTATTTTTTGGCGTCCGGTGAGAACGACTTTGGATTAGTTAGCTTCTAAGGGCAAATGTATAAAACCCAAGCCGTCCTTAAGTCGAATCCAAGCCTACTTGATCAGAAAAGCCGATCAGAGCAAATCTGCTCCCGAGATTCCCAGATTCTGACATGACTCTATATAAAAGTTTGAAGAGCTCGGTGATTCCTAGGCTCGCGCTACTTAGTTGATTAGAAAAATGTAGGATCAAGTCGTTCGGTGTTTATCAATCCGATTTGAAATGCTCTCCTGTTTTCCACATCCCTATAGAATCGTAGTCGCCTTCTGGAATAGCCTATACAATGATTGCAAGGGTTGGCAGACGTATAGGCCAGTGCTTTCAACTTCTCAGACGACTTTGGGACTACTCATTTCGTCCTCCCAGCCGAGCACCCCGGGTTCGAATAAAATGACCCAACCCGGAATGCTCGGTTGTCTGAACGGGCATCATTTAGGAAGGGTCAAGTATCACTACTCTGCTTTTGCCAACTGTCCAGATTGTGCACCCAGGAAACGTAACAGGGTAGTACCTTACCTAGGGTGCAGATATCGAGGCCCTTAAACAGTTTATAATAAAACCAGAGAGAATCACAAAATTAGGTTCACAGCCACCTCCGTGAACTACATGAAACTGTTTTACGGAGCAAACTCCGAAATACCATTTTAAGAGCGGGATTCTTTTTTTGTTGTTTGACGCCTGGTGATTTCAAGTAAGCATTTAAGCTTCAAGAACGAGTATGTAATACCTCAATCCATACTTAGGTAGAATTGGAGATTACCAGATCAGTGAAGATCAGATAAAGCACTTCCCAAATCCCGTCATAAATCCAGATAAAATTTCATGCAACTTAGCCGCGCTTATGCTTGTGCAACATATTCGATTAGAAGGATAAAGAATTAAAATCTACGATCCCGTCGTAGATTTTAATTTTTTAAATGCTCTCCTGTATTCGACATGCATACAGAATCGTTGTGACGTTTTCGAATGCGCATGTGACCTGTACAATAACCTACAAACGATGGTCAGTAGATATACAAGCCGCTAATTTCAAACTTCAGGACAAGATTAGGACCAATCTACAAACGTCCAGAGGATTAAAGGCTTGCCTTCTTTGTGCAATTATCGATGCGAAATCGATCTCTTGAATATACGCGTGGTAGTGCGCCTCTTGGCTCTATACCACCTTCGTATGAGTCAGAATAGAGAAGGAAACTGATTTCTCGTGGTGTATCGACCAGAGCCTTCGCAGACAAATAGTATCCTAGAAAGTGGGTAAAAGTGTAGTAAAAGAGCAAGAAGTGATTGGATAGGAGGATATTGGGCCTGAATTCTAATTTCCTCTTCATTCTTTGACCCATTTTTTTGGTAATATGTCTCTTGACTTGGAGTTATCAGGGAATAGACAGCCACTACGCCTCAGTTCGTTTGCACTCCCAGACGAGTTCGGAACCAAGTGGTCGATACCAGAATGTATGGTTGATCTCAACCGGGATTTGTTTCCCATACCAGGTTTATGACCTAACGTCACGTAGATCCACTGCCCAAACCCACCTGCCAACACCCCTGAAGCATGTACCTTCAGTGCAGATAGGAGAGCTAGTAAGCAGCATTTATAATAAACTCGGGTATGGCAGCAACTCAAGTTTATAGCCACCTTCTTGGCGCACAGAATGGTCTTTCTGCTGGCTCTCCCCACCAATGGTAAGACTCAGGTCTGAGAAGCTGTTCGTTTAACTTGGCGTTGAGTGACATCAAATCGAACCCAGGTAAAGGTGCAGGCACAGCTTCCTGATAAGCAAACAGTCCTTAGAAGGCTGATTCAGCTAGCCCGACACTACCCAAACAGGTACGGGACAGTCATGTACCTGTTTGTAATGGGCTTATCTGACAATGAGTTCATCATGTGGAAGGTGGCAAACACTAATGCTTTTCATGTATTCTAGTGGAAAACCTAACGATTGGGTGCTGCCGTAAGCTGATATGGAAGGTAATAAAAGCAGTTATTACACCATATAGCTGCTGATAGTGGAACTTGAATGATTAAACTGACAGGCTTTCATTAAACAAAGCTCATTTAGAATGGGTGTTTTTGTGTCATCGCTTCCATTCCCCTATGAGGCAACCAGTTCCGAGTCGTCTGGGTAAAAGATTCCCAGACAACAGTGGGTATTCCTTGCCTTCATAACCCTTTGATAAGAAACGACTTCATTGCTTCGGTGAATTTCTTCTCTCGTCAGTACCTCTGCTTTTCCCTTCCCAAATTTCACAGCATTTATCTGAACCGCTCATTTCTCTCCTGTAACTCCAAAGTTACTGTGATTACCGTAATCGAATTCCGCCTGCTATCCTGAAATCGTAGCCCAGTCGATCATCGAGGACGTCTTTTTCGTAGGAGAAGACTTCTGAGGAAATTCCCAGGAGCAGGCCGGAGTGCCAGCAAAGCGTAGTGCATGAGATGGTAATTTTACTGCTTTTACGAGTACGATAACGCCATTGATGGCCACGTTGAACACGAGGCAAAAGTAACTTCTCCAAGTTGTAGCTTGCAGGGCTTCATTCAGCTTTGTTTTACTCATTGTTCCTACTGCAACTTGTAACTCTTCTCCATCATTGATTTCTTGAATGATTTGTTCATTTTATCCATCTCAAAAGAAATATTTGGCACGTGAATGGATTCTATTCACTTCAAAGACAAAGTTCATGATTCTATTGTACCTAATTTTAGGCGAATAATGGAATTGATAGACTATAATAATACGAAAGCAGTAGAGTAAAAGTCGATGTAATCAGAGAAATATAACAATCAAAAATCTAGTATAATCAAGAGTTGAACGAGTAGACGACAAAAGTTGCACGTTAAGGGTTTTTGGACGAGCTGTCCGAATGTGTCTGCCATTGGTGCAGCTAGCTACAGTAAGCTGCGTTCGTCTAACGTGCACGTCATGGAATGAATAATGTGACCTGTACGGCCTGTCAATGCAGTGAGGACTCGTCCGTCTAGAGTGCTAAGCCTGTTTCGGAGCCCTTTTATTCATGCTGTTTCTCGATCCGACAACGTCCCTTGTGCTCATAGGGGTCGTGGGTTCACCACAGGGAGAAATCCCAGGAAAACTTTCAATCATGAACTGTACCCTTGACCAGATCGCTGTTGCTTTCATCTTATACTAGTAGTAACACAAAAGTAGGACTAACCCAAAGTAATTATTGTTCCTTCGAATGGGTCAATTCGAAGGGGTTTAGCGAAAATCATATTTCATTTCGCCTTTAATCAATCAAATCATCAAACAATTGGATCAATTGATCATTTTTCCTGAAAACGATTATTTTTTCTGCAAAATAGATTTCATTCCACCTCTTCGAAATCTCAGTATTTCTTCTCGTTCAACATATCAATCTTCCTGGCAGCTTGGATTTTTAAGGTTAATATATTTACCATACCACAGCGTGCAGTACCGTGGAGGAGGAGGGAGGGGGCGGGGGGAAAGTAGGGAAGGTCACATCGAGCAGTATAAGTGATTGGATCCCAGTTCAGGCACAAACATAAGACTCCACATATCCTTCAGCTACTTGTTTCTGCTATCTACGGCAAATTACCTCCTTGAAGAGTACAACAAAATTGAATCGAAAAGTCACAAGGATTGAAGACTTGAAAGAATCTCACAGATATTTGAAAATGCGATCCATATAAGTCAAAGATCAAGCTCTGGAAAAGCCGTGCACACCTCGATGCCCGTTTCGTTTACCTTTAATTGTCAGCGAATCGGTCTGATGAGCTTGGGTCAACACGTCACACTTCCGTCACGATCCCGCAGAAATCCACCTAGCACTTTTGAGCTCACCACTTATTACATCGTTATGTATCTTTGTCTCCCCTATCAACCTTGCTAAGGCATTTAAATAATTTCAAAAACTCTAACTGCATGGAAAAGCTCTTGCCATTATCAATGTTTTTTTTTCTCAATACATTGGCTTGTTTTCTCTGAGTGGGCGTGGTAGTCAATATGTAAACTTGGGAAGAGGATGGACATGGCAGAATCTTTTCAGGGTTACAGTGGGTTCGTTCTTCCCCAAGTCTTGTCGCTTGACTTCCCGCCGTGCAATTCTCGTGGTTGCTTTTCTAGTACGCTATAAAGTTCCTCACCCATAGAGATATGGTCATAGGAAATGACTAAAGAAGGGGCACTCAGGAAGCTTTCAGAAGGATCGATGCATTTCAATCTTGGACATGACTCCAGAGGGTAGCGGTTTGGGACTAATCTAACCCATTTCTGGGTCCCACATGGAATTTCATTTAAAATCTCAGTGGTGCTTTAAATGCGTATGTGGGGTATACAAGATCGCGTTCGTGATTTCATCGTAACAGACGATCTCTGGTACCAACAGCCCCACACCGGAGGGTTGGTAAATTTGGTTGGCGATGATGAGTGGTCGCCCAGGATTTGATCTCCGTACCCGTGTGATAGTGCGCTCCATTTTCAAGGAATGCACTTCCCGGAGTGACTTTGGGGGGGAGGGGGGATCGGATTAGCTCGAGAAGACCGGTATACAAGTGAGTCTCCACATGCCTATTCTTAGTCTTTGACGCTATATTTATAGCAGCTTATCAGCGTCTACTAGGTCATGGTGGTGAGCCGATTGGTCGATATCATTTGTGAGAAACAATTTTATGAGTCTTGACAAATAAATATGATTTGGTTTGATTTATCGGTCGCTGCTTTTCCATACTTGTCAAAGTAGCATGCATCATAAGCTGCGATGAGCAACAGTCGCTTACTAAATAGGATAAATAAAAAATAAACCATCCAGGGGAAGCTTTTGTTGTTTTGGTAGAGCAATGCATAACATGTTGTCGAGGAAGCATGATCGTTAGTTCGAGTCCCCACCCGCACCAAGTCCGACGTTTTGCTTAATCCTATAACTGTTGCGGATCCATCTTTGAGGAATCTACAGGACATTCAGATGACTACCGTTTTAAGCCCGGGGCAGCTTGTGCTTGGACGATTCCCTGATTAGTTTCGTTGCTGATTTTGTCAAAGGAACGTTAAAGTGCCCACAGCAAGGGTCAACTTAGGGGTCCGGGAGAGAAAAGTGGAGCGGCACGGGTAGTTCGGAGTCAAAAGAAACAAGTCCAGAACAGCCACACACCTTCTTATTATTCTATCAACTCCCAATTTTCTGTAAAGAGATTAGAAAAGCTAAGGGTATTACAGAAGTCTAGCAAAACTGTAGATAACTTCAGTAGCTCAGTTTTTCCGAGCATAGGTCCTGATGGAAACACTCCTTAGACTTTGTTAGAGGGTCATCTTGCAGTGACAGTTCTCGCACTTGTTGTTAAACTCGTCTTTTTGCGCGTAACTGTCTTCATTTGGCCCGGATTACTCTTTGTGTTACCACTCATCTCCTTTCCATTCTCTCGAGAACCGCTTAGGATGTTATTGCCATTATTCCACAACCTTACCACACACTACCACAACATTAGCAAGATTGTTTGTCATAAGAGCAATGAATAATAATAACAATATGTCGGCAAAAAAACGAAAAATAAAGATTCAGCGTGTTACCCTACTCATATGGTTTCCAGCGAGTATAACATACCGAGCATAGCACTGCTTCCCGAAGACAATGAAATTCACATTACGAAAAAGCAAAAAGCTGGGAAGGACTAAATTTGTCAAGGGCTGACGAAGGCACTGTAGCTTGTTACTAGACGACAGCGATGTTGAAGTGTCCTAGGTCGACAGGCAACTGACAAGGAAAGCTGGATGAAGGGAGCTGAAGGAAGTCGAATGCAGGATAAGGTATCCTCTGTTCACTAAGGGTTTTATGAGTCTCACAAATGTGAGGGGAAGATGATCCATCGATGGCAGGCTGAGCCAAATTCCCTATTGGAATACCTCTTAGTCAAATCTTCAGCTCAACAATCTACATCTTCCTAACAAAAAGAAACATCTGTTGGAAATTATCCAAGCTGCTTCAACACCACCTAGCCTTAGAGAATAATCAAATACTCTATCAACTGCTGTTTCTAGCTTCGGAGGAGAAATTCACATAGACAATAGCTCTGATAATAGCTTCAAATTCGATTTCTCGGTATCAGTATCTTCTATCAAAAACCCAGTGGGCCCATATTCTAAGCATAGGCTTCATACTCTGCTGAGTTTCCTCGATATTTTACATTCCCATGACTACATAAAGTTATCGCAGTATATAATGTAGAAATGAAATTGAAGTATTCGTTGGCAGATAACCCTTGTTTACTTTGTCTTATTATTTACAGGCAGAATGACGCTTGATTCACAAGATAAAATTTTTCTTGGAGCAACATTCGGAACTGCGGTAAGTATGTAGTCCCTCTTTACGGTATACTCGAGAAAGGTGGAGAACGTCCGTTGCGCGTGTCCGTCGAAAGTAGGTCACCCCGCCCAGTTCGCGGGCGGCGCACCCCTCTGAGGTCTCGAGACGACACTACAGTACCACCAAGTGTCANTGGAGCAAATGATTTGCATTTGTCTGTGTTATCTTCTTGTTGAACTGACTGCCGACAAAACGCGAAGCGTATGCCCCAGTGACAATTGCGACGTCTGTCAAATATCGCGGGTCGGCTCGCCGCATGCGACGGCTGCGACGTGACCTAGTTTCGACGGACACGCGCAACGCAGCGCACCCCGAGAAAGGTTACCAATTTCAGATAGTTGGTGCAGTACTTCTAATCGTCGGTTTCGTTCTGCGATTTGGACGAGGTTTTGGTACTTTCGTGAACTACGCAAGGGCTGTGAGTTGTTCAAAATTTTCCTAAAGGTTTTACCTAAGAAGAGAAGATTGAGTCATAATGGAAAAGCTTTAGAAGAAAATTTTTCAAAAAAAATTTAGAAAGAAATTAGCTTCAAAATCAATATACTGATGGAACGGCTATAAAATTATTTAAATATCCGCGGCATCGTTTTTGGAAGGGCGTAAAACGTAAAATGTTCCATGTGAACTTCCTTGTTTAATAGTTTGACCACCACATGTTTTTCCCACTTTTCCGCTGAGATTTTGCCCAAAACGGAGTTGATGGGAAGGCATCGCCTGGGTGAGTTTTCAGAGCAAAAAGGTCAGAAATCTACCAAAATACCAAAAAAATGAGGCTGACTCTGCTATCTTTTCAAAAAGTGGAATGGACTTCATGCAGTTGGCCGTTTTGCGGTTGAAAGCCCCGCCCTTCCTTTCCTACTTTTTGATTTTTTTCGGTTTTTTAGCGGCTGAAATAGAGTTTTGCTATAGAATTTCTGCTTATGTGTAGTATCCTTTCCGAATAAACAAATGAATAAACAAACAAGTAACTTTTCCCTATTACCAGGACAATGATTTTCTGGAACTACGCCGTTTGGACATGATATTCGGCTTGTTCACAGCAGCCGCATGCGTTCTTATTCTGATGTTTTTCGTTTCTGCCTTAGCCACACTCAAAAGGAATAAATTCCTCCTCCGTGCGGTTAGTTCAGTACTTACTATTTACACAGTTGAACCTTCCATTTATGGCCTTCCCTGTATTAATTTTAGTACTGTGCCGTAATCGCTTTGATGGTAGTTGTGCAATTGATCGCTGGTTTACTTGCCTTCACTTATTCGGATCAAATCAATCAACTCGCCTCCGATGACATACTCTACGAATCGCTCTACAAAACTGCCAAATTGTACGACGATAAGTAGTTTCATGGGCTTCAGGGGTTCTGGCAGTAGCTCCCTACTTTCAATTTCTGGTCAACAGATACTACAATATGAACATAATCCTTAATAAGTGCTAGAAATTTGTTTGTTTATTTATTTACCTAATCAATGGTTAATTCCAGAAAAAATGAAATCTTGAGCACATCCCGTACTTCTTTTCACTTTAATTTGTTATATATATTAGCGATAGTGCTTGAATTTATTATTCTTGAACCGTGACTCCCGAGAACAGCACAAGGGACGCTGTCGGGACGAAATACGGCCAAAATAAGGCATAACAAGGGCCCCAAAACTGACTCAGCTGACGATCACACCCAAAAGGGACGAGTTCCCACGCCGTTTTAGAGGCTGCCGAGATTGCACCATTCGCACCGCGGCCCACACAGGCAACTCACTGTACAGTTGTACACAACGGCACCTACTTTCGGACAACTCGTCCAATTACCCCTCCCGTGCAACTTCTGTCGTCACATTCTCGTCAAACCCTTAATCTTACTATAATCTTGGAGGCTTTTCTAGTGCTATCCTTAAAGTCATTTTATGCTCAGAAATCATTTTTATCGTAAACCAGGCCTCTATAACTAAATTTCAAATTTGCTGAGGTAAATTTGACTTCTCGGAATCCTCGGATTAGCCGCCACTGCCTTTTGCCCTTTTCCTGTTGCAAAATTTTATACTTGAGCGTACAGAAAAGTATGGTAAATTTTTATTCAAACGAATCGTTGTCTATATTATTACTGTACTATATTATTTCGAATTTATTATATTATATTTTGGGAGATCATTTGATCCATTGTACCACATTCATCAGCAGAAGAATGAAAAATGTATTATATATTATGTATATAAATGTCAATTAAGTAATATCAAATGAAATAATCATGTAATATCAAATTAAGAAATTTACACACGGGTTTTCGTTTAATTAAGGTATGCATCGCCTCCACCATCGGATTCCGAGACTCAATTCTGGATTCACACCCAGAAAACGGTAATTTTGCTTGCCTCGCCATTTCATGAGAATATTTCACCGTCCATTTTACAGTTCAGCTGCTGTGGTGTTCTCAGTTCTAAGGACTGGTCATTCACTGAAGCTCAACTGCAAGCCTATTCTTGTTTTCGACCGAACTATGCCAACGTAAGTTGCAAAGCCTTCTTCTAAAAGGTGATTTAGCTTAGAAACTATTCGTCAGCTTTAAGGCGATATCAACGAACTTCTGAATATTTTAGTATTTTTTAGCAGCAGTACCTGCCGCATATATCAAATGTGTGGCACCATTTGTCCATGACTTTTTCGAGAAATTCAAATTGTATTATAGGGCTGTGAAAAGCAGATCCGGTCTCGCATCTCTTCAGATACACAGTATCTTGGTGCAGCCTCTATGGGTGTAGTTCTCATTGAGGTGAGAATGACATTTTTATGATCGGATGCCTTACTAGTAAACTTTAATTTCAGATCATTGCCAGTTTTCTCGCAGGCTATCGAGCTTACAATCTTTCATATGACTGAAATCAGAGACAACAGACACAATTATGCGCATTGAAGGAATAAAAACTGAATGGAATTATTATATTGATGCTGCTTGCAATAATTATTGATACGTTGGATTAGATTAAATTATGTAAAAATTGCTCCACAGTGATAAATGTGATTCCTTTCGGAAATATCCATCTCGTGTTACTAAGGCACCTGCTTCAGGGTTTTGTTTTTCCTTGATGTGGGTCTGAAATAGGTTTCTATATTGCAAAGGTACAGTTCACTAGAATTCGAGTTATGGATTGGTATTTGGACGATTTTCCAGCGGTGTATTTTTTTGTGCGGGCGTAGTAAACCAAAAACCAGAAATTTCCTTCACTCTATTATCCCTATGGGACACTACTGGTCATTTAACTTTCTCAACATGTATGCTCCATTTCGAATAATGCAGCCCCCACAGCGCCGTTGAAACACGTCCGCCTTTGGGTCAAGACGCCGATGAAGCCGGTAGGTTAGCCTTTATTGCAGCTTTTCGACAGCGCATCATATTTTATACTTAGAGGGCCACAGGTTCCTTCTTGATGGAAATTTCGAGAGCCATTTTTATCGTGAACTGTGCCTTCAGTACTCTGGAGTTGACATACGCTTGTGAGCCTTGAATACCACGCACTGATTCTTGGAAAAGATCCTGAACAGATAATAACAAAAGAGAAAAAAGCATCTCCAATACATATCATTGAGTAGCAACTGTCAACAGGGGTGATCTTCGATATTTTTGTCCATATTGTTCTTATTTACCTATTCCAACTCGATTTTTTCTTCAGATGTGAGCTATTTAATCAATGTCAATGTTTTCCAAAAATTCTGTCTGTCACCCATCATCTGTGCGTTTAATACCAAGGAATACACATTGACTGGTAGTTAATCAGCCATATTTTTCATCAGTTTGGATTAGAATAGCCGCGGAGAGCCAGTGAAAAAGAGAGGGATGCTGTGAGGCTGAGTTCTGACCAATTTAATTGTACGTCTCGTTTAAAGCTGAGACTACCGGTGGAAAAATACTCTGGGTATCTGAAATCACTTGAAGCCACAGTTCACGATAATTTTGAGATTCTAAAAGCGGAAGTTTTGGTGAGGAATAGTGCATCGGTGGCGAGAAAGGTGGGAAAAAATCGACAGAGCTTCTACAATAAGGTTGAGCAAATTAGTGGAAGTAAGAGTTCCATGCGATTACCATGACAGAAATGTTAGAGAAGGGAATTCAGTCAGATTCCAGTTGTTGCGGTTGGGTAAAGTGCTAGTTAAATGAAGCCAAGAAGCCCAAAATTCCTTCACTGTCGCCGTGGGTCATAATCGGTCGTTCGATTTTCCAACATGGAAGTCCCTGCGAATGGTGCGCCCTTCATGATGCCTGCCGCCGAAACTCGTCCGTTTCTGGGTGTGGCAAACAGTGGGTACATTCTTTGAGCCATTACAACGTCTTGTCTAGGCCGTTTTTCAGTCGAACAGCGTCACATATGACATATTTGGATGCCAGAGATTCATTCTATGGGGATACTCAAGAACCAATCATTCGCAGATTGTGTTTAATCTTATACAGCCGCGTCCACTAATTGGCCTCGAAGAAATGACTATTTACTTTTGGTCGAATTTTGAAATGTTCAACCTGTCGTAGCCAAACAGTTCTTTACAAAGGTTTACAATCATTTGTTTCCAATTTCAAAACTCCATATCCAANTTATCTGATAAGTCGCGGGCGAAGCTGGTGTCGTGGCAAGCGGCGCACTATCACATCAGCATTGTATAAGGATCGAATCCCGGATCAATACTCGTTCAGGTTACGGTCTTCGTCTCGCTGGGGTAGGTTAAATAGTACCAGATAACATGATGATTGGTAACATGTGTGCTCCATTGTAAATGGTATATCCTCTTCAAGATCTTCGAAACACGTCCACTTCTGGGTGTGGCATACAACAGATACATTTTCGAGGACTTCTTACCCTTGTTTAGGCCAGGCCTTGTTCGATTTGACAATGTCACATATGGTATTCTCGCAAACCCCAGATTCATCCCTCAAGATATCTCGGGAAACACCGTTATCGGGACCTACTTTCGGATAAAAACGGTAGACTTCGATACTGTATCTTGTATAAAAGCCCTCATATTGAACGAAGAACTTAGGTACTCGAACAAATAAACTGCAAGGTTTACTCACAGACTATAAGACATTGTAGCAATCGTATAAACAAACCAGTAATGCAAGCAGGTGTGTCAGGCGAAAGCCCACAGGCACTATGATATACTTATCACATTGTCAAATATAAAAATGTGAAACGTCAATACAGAATCAGCAAAATATACAATTTACAAGTATAACTCATAAACAAAATATGAGGGGGCACGAATTTGTTGATAAAACCAGCTTACATGGACCAATCGAGAGACTCTCCGAAACATATGTTTTAGTAGGAGCAATACCCTCAGAGAGCACCCGTACAGCGAATGAGACAGAGTAAAACCTCGCTATGTAGGAGGGCACAGTAAATGTGCACGTTAGATAAAAGAACCAGGATACGAGAAGTTAAAAAATCTCGGAACAAGATATGTTATAACCGGGGAACATAAAAAAAATGAATATCAGGCTGCAAATGACTAGAAAAACTTAAAATACACATGTTTTGTATAAATTCAAGCATCAGGTCAAACGACTGGAGGATTGTAACACCAGAATATGTATTAGTTATAGAGAAGCAACAAAAACACGAAATTTACACTGTACCTAGCAAGTGATATCGCTTAAATTCTCTTCAAATACAGCTTCATGCGCAAGACTCCTGAGGGATAGAAGGCGACTCCACCTGATCAGTAAGGGCGGCATCAACTCTCATCCCATGAACAGCCCGGTCCAGCCATCTGATTTCGATTTGTATGGCCAAGGCTCGCACACCTTCATCGATTGCTGTATTTTTAGACAAACGAATGCAATGTTCCAATAAATCCGATTCCATGAGCATTGTCATGTATCTTAAAATGCATTATGAGAGCAGGTTAGGGAGGAGCGAAAAATCAATGTTTCGAGAGATTAAACTGACCCCATAGAAACCGAATTGGCGTCGCTATGTGAAAGCACGTGGTTTACACCCCATAAACACCACATCTGAGCACCAACGAGTGTCGTTTCGTTGAGAATACGTACGAACGGCTCGAACGACCTGAATTTTTACGTAAACTAGTCTGAGATCGGATTTGAGACTAGGCTCTAAAAAAAACAAAAAAAAAGACAAACCTATATGAGACCATAGGCACAGAAAGCATTGGCCATTGACGTATCGATTTCACCATTCGCTCGTTCACTTTTTCGCGGGATAAGTGATCACCATGAGGCCAGTTCTCACAGAGCAACATATTGGCAAGAACACCTGCAGCGAAGTAGCTGCGTTCAACAGCGCGGTTTCGTCCTGCACCATCAGCACGTGTGAAATCACCTTCGAGACATTCGCTGAAACAGAATGAATAGAAGCCAAGGAGAATAAGGATAAAAGAAAGAGAGAGAGGGGAGTAAAAGGATAGACGTACCAAAGAGCCTCCAAATATTCAGCATTTTGTAGCATTGAGAGTTTTTGCTCGTATACTTCAGCAACATTATTCTGGAAATAGTTTCATACTTAGTGACTAGCTTGTTCACCTTCCTTCAAATACATTTAAGTAATTTGCAAAAGAAACTCGGATACTTACCAAAATACCCAATACTTTCGTCTGAATATTGTTGTGGTTCTCAAACAGTCGCAGGATATCGAACGAAACACCAATTCCATTTTCGTGAGCGAAAACTACGCAAGTGGCCGGGCAATCATCTTAAAACAGAATACTTGTGAGTTTTATTTAGACGGAAAAATAAATATGTTATTGGCAGCTGTAATCACTTAAAATAGATGAGAGCACGCGTCTAATATCTCAATAGTACCACTACTGTTGAAGGAAAACTCACCGGTAAGATTCCAGAGAGCGCTTAACGTGAACTTCAATGTGTAAAGCGAGTTCTCAGCACGAACACCGTTCGAATTGCGGAAATGGTCTGGAAATAGTTGAAATTAGAGTCTTGCTAGTACCTAGTCAATCTCGCTTTTCAGAGCGAAACATAGTACGAAGTAAATCCGTCAAAGCTGTCAATGCGCAACTACTATAATTAGTGAACACTCAGAAGGAACTGTTGCAGTCACAAAGTCGAAGCAAACCAAAATTACTCGACGGCCTTAAGTTAACTCTAGACAGATGTTCAGTACAATAGAGATAGCTCACTTAGATTCTGATCCATCAAGTGTACAAGGTGTTTCACATAGCGCACATCACTAGCCAAGGTACGAGCATCCTGGGAGCGCATTTTTGGTGCAACAATTGATACTATAGCGATCGTCATTCTGAAAAAGAATTGCAGTATACCAAAAAGTTCGGAGATACTTCGAGTCAGTCGTTTACCTTGATACTCCAGCGTCCGTGTTGATCAGCATGCTTTCTAGTGCAACCTTGCAGGTTCGATAGAAGTTAATACCCGAGAGTTGAAGAAGATAATCGTTACATATTGTCAGCCATACATTCTTTTGCAGCTAAAAATGTGCCCTTCAATTGTGAGCACGTAATATGATAGCGTGTGTAAACGTACCTGGGTTGTTTCTGGGTATGTTTCGGCCGCATCGAGACAACGATCGACACATTTGCGAACAGCCGAAATGGATAATCGAGAAATTCGCTTCATTCTGGAATGCGATTAATCAAAATACTTACGAAGCGTCCGCAGAAGGTATATGAATAAAGATTACTGCGGAAATGACTTACTTGCAGAGATGGTATAGACAAGCGCTGCCGGCCATCTGAACCCCAAGATTGTGCAGATGTTTACGCAGTGCAGCGCAAACCACTGCTGCACATTCTGCCACTTCACTATCCGAGAAATCATCGTATCCACTTTGAAGCATGTAATAGACGCAATGTAGAGCGTGAGCAGTAAACGCATCCCTGCAATAAAACAAATCAGCTAATCAGGGATGAAAGACAGCTAATTATTATACAAACCTGTCAGTGTTCCAGTAGCCATTCAAAGCCATCACGGCTTGTGTTCGAGTAGCACAGTTAATTATTTGTACATCCCGATCTACCGGAATAACATACGAATGACCATCAAGAGGAGTTGCTGCAAAACCACATTCGAACGATGGAAAAATAAAATTTGCGAGAACATTGTTCACTTTTTGCGCTACTTTTGAGTGGAAACTTGGATATTAATGACTATTCTCCTCCCCACAACCTCTCAATTGGCTTTTCCGACCGCTTCTTGAGCTAATTTCATTATGCTGGACGAGATCACCAGTTTTAAACAGCCCCAAGTCATGCTATTACGCAAGAACTTCAAAACCTTACGGGAATGCTATTCGTGGTGAAAATAATTGGAATTCGACCGACACTGGAGAAATTGAACCTACCAAGTACTGAGACACGCTCAAGACGTGGATTTCTCTCCAACAAAAGCGTGACAATATCGGCAGCTCTATCGACTCCCATATTTGCAAGTGAATTTCCGGCGAGATCTATTGACCTCAAATATGGCCAACACGCAAATTTGTCGTCGCGCATTATTTGCACCATAGCGAGCGGTAGATCCACACAAGCCTCTTGTGAGCTTAAAGAAAATATTTTATACAGACATTATTGTATAAATAACAGCTATACATGGACAGCTGAAGTACCCGGAGGAAGGAAGTGCTACTTACCTGTCCGTTCCGTAATCAGTGACTTCCTTGGAAATATCGAGTACTCTGAGACCAGTCAAGCTACGAAGCGTCTCCGTTACACATCCAGAACGAATGCGGAGATTGTGCATTATGAGAGCTTCGAGGTTTCTAAACAAAGTGATTTTTTTACGGTCGTACATATTAAGTTGTATGCTCAAATAGTAGATTCAAAACTAAGCATATTACTCAGCTGATGACTTATAATCCTGGGGAAGGACTCTCTTTCAGCATATTATTTAGCTAAAAAGTAAACTGGTAGAAAAGGTATAGAAAGACACGTACATTAGCTCATTCAGAGCAGAAATATCGGCAACGAGTGTATTAGAAATATCGAGTAGTTTCAAGTTCGGAAGTTCACGAATAATTTTTAAAGCCGCCTGACACACCGGACGTCCAGCAAGCGATAAACTTTCCAGTGAAGAGAACTGTGCTAGCTGAAAAAAAATTACATAGAGCGGTTCATGAGAGCAAACAGAGATCCCTAAAAATTAGTACACAAACTTACTCTGGAGAAGTTAGTAATTTTATCATGCCCGCCAATATTAAGATAGCGGAGTGACCTCAAAGTAGCATCGCTGACACACTCACGAATGAACTCTCCAACATCAAACGTTGATGAATCTGAACAAAGACTTTGATATGAATGATCTCCTTTTGAAAAAAAAGCAACTGCACACCTGATGGTCCGGCATCGGAAATCGAGAGCGACTCCAAATCGAATTGTGCCAAACGTGATAATACAACGTAAGGGAAGTGTCCACATTGTGATAAGTCAATCTAAACAATATGAAGCATCAACACTACTTACAACAACTACTACACAGGAATTTTGAAGGTGATTTTTTTTCAACTCAGCTTTTGGGTAAATCGAATAACTTTTGTAGGCGAAATTAAAAACAAGTCCCAAACATCCAGGGAAGATCGAATTTGCCCGGGCTTCTTGGAAAGCAGTACTAATATGCAACGAAGGCCTGAGAAAGAGAGCCACCGACCACTACTTCGCTCGGAATTTGCCACCTAACTGGATTGACACACAATTTAGTATTAACACAAAATTTTGGTAGAAATTCCACCCCTTGCCTTTGAGCTACTGTAAATCCTGAGAAAAAAGAAAGAAATAATCGGAGTGTGGGTCGAGTGTTTTCTTCAACACAATCACCTTTCCCGACTCACACCAAGCAATCAACAATGGTGCAGTGAGAAAATGTTTGGTAGATTTTTCCCAATTACTGGGTAGTGACTGCGCATGTCACTGATGACAACGGTGTGAATCTTGACAAAATAATTATTTTATCTTTTGATTTTCTCCAAAATAGTATTTTACTGACCTTAGTAATGTTAAGCTTAAGGTCTGCAAGGCGCTGTAATCCTTTTTCATCTAGAAGGGCTAATTGACGCATTGCATCAACAATCAAGTTTCCAAAATGGGCAGGCAATGAAGACCCGATTGGTGGAACTCGGTCTGAATAATAAAAGAATTACATAAATCTATTGGGCTAAGAAAAATCGGTCGACTTACCATCTCCAATTAGACAGGCTATACGAAGAGCGCTCGTCTCCAGCAATGACTTTGGCGAGCACTCTGCATAGACATCCACAGGCATCACTAAAATCAAATATTTAGAAAGGACCCCGACAGAATCCTGAAGAGCAGTACGCCGATTCTATAACTTCGAAATATTACGGACAAAATCAAGACCAAGAGATTTAGCACGAGACCATTTTAAACAACATTGATTAGAGAATAGTATTGAGTGAGCAGAAGGGAAGATGAGCGAGGAATGATGAAGTTTGTCAACATTGCGCAATTCCAGGAAGGACTTTCTTCCCAAGCAAAGTAATGTATTTATCTGAGTGATGAATCAGTCCGTACTAACGACTGAATAGTCCATGAATAAGACCCCATAGATCTGAAATCTTCGGAAGATCCGAAATAAGACGAAAACATACCGAAGACGGACAGACCACGTCATCACAACAACAACACATCACTGATAAACTAAACGATATTTGGCGGGAGTTCACATGCAATATTGATCTGGCCGCAATTACGCCCAAAACGACTGAACATTAATACAGTATACCTAATAATCGAGGTGAAACGACACCGGCAGGCAACTCGTTCATTATATGTGGGCTCTGGTGAACCTTATCAGAAGCAAATGTCAATCTGTTGGGTAAAAGTGCTTTTATAGGACTGGGACTGGGATACCACGTGGGCTGACATGCGTCAGGGGGCAAGCTGTTCCCGCTGATCAAAGTTGTAAACAGAACAGTGAACATCAAACGATAAGCTTTACTGCCCGTTAGATATGGAGATCACATGCTCTTTCTCTTGAGTCAGGTTTAGATATCTAATCAGTCCAAAACACATCACCCATAGGAAAAGTTTCTCACGATGGAACACCAATTTGGAGTTGGAATCATCAGTCAGAAGAGGAGGTGGGGGACATGGTGTTTGATTGGCAAAGTTCGTACTTCAAGTGATCATGGGTCAATATTTGAGGGACGACCGAAAAGACGTAATGACGGATTTTCGACGTGACTGGAGCCCCCAGTCAATGGTGTTGATGAGAAATGGCTTTGTCAGCATGTCCCACGTGCTCTCCCATAACACTCCCATTAACTACTTCCGGAAAAGACAACGCCCTTCAACAGGGAAGGAAGTATGGAGGGGCCTCTATTGATTTTTCAAAGTCATTACCCAGAACTGTTTCTTTACCAGTTTTCCGAACAGCCAGCTCCTACGGTGTCTCTCTGGCGCATCCTAGGCACAAACTCTACCCTGCTTTCATGTTGCGTTGAGACGGTCAAGAAATTACCCATCCCCACCCTCACCATCTGTGGGTTGAGCTTGAAATGCGGCTGGATTCACTGGGTTGACCCACTAGGCCAGATCAAATCATCAAGATCGGTCCATCAAAATATCGTCTCGAAAAACAGATACAGTTATTTGCAAATTTGTCGAAACTGTTACTAGCAGTAGACGAAATTTCCTAGTGTTTGACTCTACGAGCATTACAGATTTCCGTGAACCGTATTCAGGAACTCATTAAGCATGCTATTCACCATAAAATATTTTTCGTTTCGGATTACTTTTCTTACAGCACATTCCATTTCAGGATATCTAATAAGGTCCCTTTGAAAGGTGAAATTCTTACAGAATAGAATGACACCAGTTTTCAAACTGACAAGGGAAGGATCCCAAGTCGAAGTGGCCATTTAGAAACTACTAAGAAACTAAAAACTCTACTAGATGTATTTTTTTATGCTGATTCCGAATCTGCATTCAAAATCTGCCAAACGATTCTCTGAACGAAGATATGGTGGTGGTCTCCGGAGAGCGCTCAATGCAGATTCGGAATCAGAAAAAAAATACGTCTAGTAGATTAGGTCTCATTTCAAATGGCCACTTCGACTTGGGATCCTTCCCTTGTGAGCTTTGGACTGAATGAGAAGAAGTCAATCTCAAAAACTTTCACGCCAAAAGTTTGAAAAAACGGAAAACTTCGAAAAATCTCATTTCTGAGAACTGAGACTTCCAAGCACAACTTCCCACAGATAGTTCGGAAAAGGAAACTCGTTGATGGCTAGGAACGGTTAGAGGCATTCCCTAACAATCAGCTGATAGTTCAGGAACCGAGAACCTTTAGGATCATGACAAAATGAGGAATGGCATTCCTCTGATTAAGGAAATGTTCCAAATTGTGGGACTGTGAGAGTAACTGGGTATGTTGAAGTGCCGAGGATGACAGACTGCCATGGTTCTTCTGTGAACAACCGCAAGATTACCATAGAAGGAGACAAACTGACTTTACATCATTTATGGTGCTCAGAAGTGAACGTGCCAATTCTCGAGTTTCGTGCAATATACGAAGGTTCGTTTGGAAAAAACTTAAAAAGGTAAAATGAAAAGTCTTTGAAGGTATTGTGGAGCTCCCAGTGTACACTGTCCACAATTATAGGGTTGTATGGAATCTGCAGTCAACTGAAGAGAATGGTGAAGCAACGGGTCAAACTCGTTTGGGAATGGGACGAGAAGGGTTAGAGGAGAGATACGAATGGGAATCGGCAGAATTTTTTATTGACTGCCTTCAAAATAGACAAAACAGAACGGCGGAATTGCAGAAAACCACCTTTTGAGACCCTTGACCTTGTAGCACCTACAAGGTCGGACAGGTGTTCGAAAACTATAAGTCTCATACCCATTCTTCAGGAAAGCCTTGGGTAGTACATCGGGTACTGCAGCTGCCTCGAGACCCTATAAAGTGAGTAGAAGTGTCGAAGGTGTGGAACACCGAAGAACAGTGGGCAGGTGAAGAAGAAGAAGCGCCAGTGTAGCTGGAGTGTGTATGATACGGTGGGTGCCAATTTGGTACCAATGGCGAACAATGAACCCGGACTGGTGGCTGCGAGTCGTCCGTCACGCAGCTCTGTTGAACGCACAGTGGCAGTTGTACGGGAGTAAAAAGTCGATTGAAAGTTGTGCGAGACGACAAAAGGTGAAGTGTAATGTGTAGAGAGACTGGACGGATAAGATGGACTGACGTGAGCAACAGTCGACACCGGGAGTAGAGGTGACGGTCGGAAAGGACATTCAATCAGCCGGTTAGGTACGGGGAAACCCACCAACCACCTGACAACATTGCCTGCCTTTATTTTGCTATCACCTATAGACGGTCATACGACCAATACTCAGAGTAAACACATATAATGTGATTAAAGGACAAGGGCAAATGTCGAAGGAACTACGAAGTGCGGTTACAAAGTTCCTTTTTTTAATGACCGTTTGGCGACAGTGATAAGGGGGTTTACTAGAAAAAACGAACTACGGACGAAAGGGGAATATAAATGCTTGGTTCCGAGGACTTTGATCCGAAAGACCCCCACAGTACCCTTTCCCTCTCTTGATTCCTCTATGATTCGAGTTGGGAGGGTTTTAGGGTTTAGGAAAAACTACTTTTCGGCACTGAGTAAACCTTGCTGAATACTATCGATTCTGGCGTTTCTCTGTAATCACTGCGATCCGGAGAACTGGTTTCTTAGTAGTTCGTATGGTACTCAAGAATATACCCATTATTGCATCTAATTTCAAGGGGAACTTCATGATGACAATGAATCGGAAACAGCAAGAAGCACTGGCTCTCGGTAACGTATGATAGGGGTGTAAGGCATTGCTAATACGCAAAACTGCCCACAAGCGCTGTAACATGGGTTCGAAGTTTGGTAGAAACTCCCATTAGTGGACGTGTCAAACAGATCTCCAAAGGAGTCTCTGCTTCTCCGAGCCCTCTTGCAGAGACAGTGCTCACATGTGTTAGGAATGAGACCTATTCCCTCCGATACAAAAGAAAAGGAGGTTGCATAGAACACTATTTTCGAGGTAAAATACCTTCTGAGTCTTCCTTTCCAGGTAGGGTGGGGTCGAAATGGAAAAACGGAATCAGAAGTCGCTTAACTTGATTTTTGAGAAGATTTGGAGGACCAC